CATGTAGCTGCACATTAATATCACCTGGAGCTCTTTAACACATTGAAGACTGAGCTCCAACCCTAGAAAGAATATGATTTAATTGATCTTAGATGGGGGCTAGACACCAGTATCTTTTTGAAGTTTCCCATATGGTTCTAATGTACAGTCAAAGTTAACAATCACTGAACTTGGGGGAAGGATTTATTTTGATAAAAATTTCAAGTGAGCAATAGTCCAAGGTGAAGCAGGTCATATTTGAATGATAAAGGAAACCTGAGTCTTTTGTATCGGAACTGTGGTTCTTATGAGATTCAACCTTTAAGTAAATCTAATGTTATAGATAGGATCCCATATGATTTCATATAAAGGTTCTTTTGCCACCCAAAAAGATTCATTGTGGACTTTCTTTAAGCAACCAACTCAAATCTTTGCACTGAAATCACAATTTCATTAAGCATAAATATTTATAATGCATGTAACTCCTCAGCAATCTATGCCATGAATCTAATGATACTTTTTAAAAAGTAGTCAAGATTCCTTCATCTGTATAGCGAGTTGTTTTAAGTGGTTTACTTTTGAAAAACATTGCCATATCTGACCTGAGGACTACTTCACCATCCTATACCCACAAAGATTTAGTCTATCCAGCTGGCAAATCTCAAAGGCCAACTGAATAAATAACCAATCATCCTCAAATCCAAGACACTACACCAGCTAAAAAGGAATGTGGTTAACACTTGGTAATGACTGAAACCAACTCATTTATGGCACAGACAAGCAAAGGGCTGGAACTCACCAAGCAGTGCCCTTAAACATTCCAAATTAGAAACTACCAGGGAGAAGTCTACATTTTAGCAATGCAAACACTGACCTGCTGAAATGAAAACCTGCGCTTTGACAAGATCTCAAGTGAAAAGTGTGAGCACATTCTAGGGCATCTGAATCTTTGAACACTCATCCCACAAGTCCAAAAATAGGATCCCCCTTGTGACAATTCAACATTTCAATTGACTGATATACACCCTTCAAATATTGAAAAGAACTTCATTATAAAGTTTAATTATTCAATAATTGTGTGTTTAGCTATGCTAAAGACAAGGTGAAGCCCTGAGTGACACAAATGGTAATTGTTCTCAGTTCCTAGAATATATTGTGAAAGCTTGAATCCACCCAGAAGCACCTCAGAAGAAAAGTCTGGAGATCAGCTTCTGAAAATCAGCCTGTGAAAATCAGGGCACAGTTCTACTCTGACACACAGACTGTCACCATTATTCAGAAATGTTCAATGGCAACTGGTTTACTGATTAGGGTACAGAGTTAAGCAAATCAGACAGGACCTCTGCCCTTATGGAGATGTGTGGATCAAACCATAGATAAGATTGGAAGAACGGGAGTTTCAGAAACATCATTGTGCTCATGCAGAACTGTTAGGTAGTTTAGCTTAGGGACTGGGGCGTCCATTAAGCATGCTCAGAGGTCTGAGCTACCTGCCAAGAAAGAGTGGTACACCGCTCATGCTCAGAGGTTCAGGCTTCCAGTCAGGAAGGGAAGGTACACCTGGGTGGGTGTTGCACCTGGATTGGCCCACCTAAGCCAGGTAAATTCAGTTTAGCCAATGGAGTCAACCGGGGTTGTCCATCATACCTCCCCATGGGATAATTGAAAAAGGCAGGAGCCCAGAGCCAACCGTGTGTGACTTTCTGAGCAGCTTCTAGTGAGGCTGCAGGAGTGAGGGGCCCTGTGGGTGCCTGTATAAACCTGAAACTTCTTCCGACTCTCATAAAACTCACTTGGTTCACAAACCAGGTTTCGGCAGGAATTCTTTCTCACATGGAGCCAAGCACCAAGGTACATCTCATCCCTGAGAGATCTGATAGAACCTGCACTTAGATCAAGAAGAAGCCATTCCAATAGAACAAGGAAGCACTCTGTGATTTAAAATCAGGAAAGGTGTGTGTGAGGGTTGGATCATCTCACTTATTCATTCTGTCTACTGAGCAAATAATCTGAGAAGATGGACTATAAGAAGACCTCATCATTGGGATCAAGGAAGACTGATTAACAAACAACCTGTAATATGCAGATGGCACAACTATGCTTCCGTAAGTGAAGAAGACTTGAAGCAATTGGTGATGATAATCAAAGACTGAAGGTTTCAGTATGCATTGCAGTGCAATTTAAAGAAAACCAAAATCTTCACAACTGGACCAATGAGCTTTTTGAGTTTTATTAGAAGATATGGACAAAGTCACACTCTTCATTTCCTTGGGGGCATCTTTATTCTCTGCTTTAATAGTGGATGTGACTTAAGACATAATCCTTTTTTTGCTAGGGGGTATGATCTGTGTGGTAGTTACATACTTTTGTGTCAACTTGAAAATATAGAAGTGTAAGGGTGGAGTCTAGTTTGTCAATCAATTCATAGCCTAATGATACCTCCTTGTGGAAGTGTGGCCTTCTCATAAGGAGGCCTCTCTCTTTGACTTCACTTTCCTGTGGATGAGCCACACTGAGACCTGTGCCAGCCTATGATGTTTCCACCACCCTTGGATCCACAAGACTGCACCCACTAGCCTGTGATCTTCCTGCATTCTGCATCATTGCATGTGGCTTCATGAGTCTGAAGAGGGACTTATGAACTAGTATTGGACTTATGAACCTGATTTGAACTGGGTTAAGATGTTTTCCTGATATATAATTACTCCTCATTATAAAGCTTTTTCTAATACATATGAGTATATCTGAATTTGTCTCTCTAGACAACCTGGCCTAACACAGTCTGCTAAAAGACAAAATAACACATCTGGGACACAGCAAGAAATCTCAGGACCTTGGAGGGGCATGTCCAAGATCTTTTTCTGAAGTAGCAGAGGCTGCTGAGACCAGATGCACCAAAAACTGTGGCACAAAGACTCAGCGCAGCTGTGCCAAGACTGTGGGCTACCTTCTCCTCATCTGGCCAGAGACTATGAGACTCTGAGACAGAGCTAAAGGTCGGCTGCCTTTGTGGACCATGGAGGCCAAGGCCAAGGCTAAGAAACTGAAGACTGGAGAGAGACTTGGCTACCACATGGCTGAGAGGCTAAGGACCAGAGAGAGACTTGACTGCTGACTGAAAAGAGGTGTTGCTGTCGACAACTGCTTGTGTCATTACTGTTTGCTGAACCTGACTTGTGATAACCTATGAACTTCTCTAATATATCTCCATAATTGTGAGTATTGTCTATGCGTTCTGTGTGGCCACTGCAATGAATTATTGAACCTGGCCTAGAAGTAGCGTGTCATTGGAGGAACAGTTGCTGTCAGAAGAGGTAAAGAAGGCTGGTGCCTAGAGGCATGTCTGACCCCTGCTTCATGGCAATAGGGAAGCCAGAGAAGATCAGACATGGTTGATATGCCATTGATTTCAGATCCTTGTCTATTCCAAATGGTGATCACAAGCCAAGCTCCACTTTTCATCACAATAGCAATATCTATTAGAGACAAATGGGCTCTCCACCACTACATAAAACGAAATATTTACAGAAGACACTTTTAAAAATGCATTAATTCCAAGCACTCACTCCAATTACACATAACCTTCTTAATGTATGCAGGAGGTATGGGAGACAGCAGTACATTCTAAAGGCAGAGGAAGCTAGAATCTAATCCTAGTGTAAAGACCTGGCTACCCGGGGTGGAGGGGACACCCAGTTGCCATTTAGTCAGCCGCAACTCATGGTGACTCCATGTGTATCAAAGTAGAATGTGCCTTATAGAGTTTCCAATGGTTTGGTTTTTTTGTTTTTTAAGTAGATGTCCTGGGCTTTTTTCCAAGGCATCTCTTGGTAGACTGGAACTTCCGATCTTTCAGTTAGCAACTAAGCGCATTAACTGTTTGCAACCAAGGGACTCTTAACTATAGAGAAGGTAGATAAAAATGTGCCATCAACCCTCCAGAGGATAACGATAAGGCAGTCTGCTTTTGTAAAGAATTCCCACCTTGAAAACCCTACAGAGTAGTTCTACAGGATCACTGTGAGTCTTAATCCACTCTATAAGAGTGGGCATGGTTTATTTTCATTTTGAGCTACCTGAGGACACAAAGACACAGGGTGAAAGCAGATGGGTGGTGGTAGTAATAAGAATTCCAGAAAGTAAGAAAAAGATTGGAAAATAGACAGCAAAAGCTGAAGGGGAAAATAGCATATTTGCCTTGAGAAGATGAGGTCTCTGGTCCACGGCCCTCCCCCCTCCTTCAGGCCCTATGACTCAGTGTAGAGAGCAGAGCAGAGTCGCACAAGCTCCTGAGACTAGCACTTCAGAGGAAGAGGAAGACAAGTACTCCCCGTCCCCAGCCCCACAGCTACCCCGCAAAGGAAGCTTTTCTCGGTCCCTTGGGGACAGAATTCAGCAGGTCTCAAACATTCCAGAATGGCAGGAAGGCCTCAAGTGTACACTGGGACACAGACCCATGATAACGCTGATCAGTGCCATGTTTCTCCCACATCGGCTCCCTTTCCCTCACGTGGACTCAACCGTGTTACATAAGGCCCATCTAAAGCCATGACAAGCCACAAAGCCCCTGAGGAGCCCTCCAAATAGACTTCAGGCTAGGAGAGGCAGTTCCCGGAACCCCCCCCCCCCCCAAGGACCAGTGGGGAGATAACCATAAAGGTCAGTGGACAGTCCTGGAATTATGTATGTTTTTTCTTTTCTTTCTTATTTTTTTAAGCTAGATTTTCCCCCTCTTTTTATTCAATCTTTTGTTTTATCTCTGCTATCATTGTTTTGCCTACCTATATCAGATAGGCTTGGACAGCAAACCCAAGGAGAAAGCAACGGGACCAATGGTTCCAGAGGGACTTGGTCGGGGAGTGGCCTGGGAAGAGAGAGGTGAGCCACTGACAGGGGAGTAAGTAGGGAATTAAAAGCAACAATGAGGAGGATGTAGAGATCCTGGGCTGCAGAAGCAACAGCAATCCAGCTGAGAGGAAGTACTAAGAGGCAGAAGAAGGGCTAGAGTGATGGTGGGTCAGGAGTGCTCAGCTGTGGCAGGGGAGCCTGGGGCAGGACGTACACTATCTCCCTCTCAGTTTAAGAGGGCTGTCCTATGCACAGGGCTGGTTCTTAAAGGGACAAGAGGACATTAAAAAAAAGAAAGAAAAGAATGAGGGGGGTCGGAGTAGAAACTAAACCCATCTGTAGAAATAGGATATTCCCTCACAGAAAGGTCACAAGAAAGGAATGAGTCAACAAGGATGCAGATGTCACTGAAGAAACACACAATATTCCTCTGGTTCTTTGAGACTTTCTCACCCCCCACTATTATGACCCCAGTCCTGCTTTTCAGTTCTGGTTAGACTGGATCATGTACACTGGTACAGAAAAGAACTCAGAGCATTTAGAACCCTGGACACATAAGCCCCTCAGGAACAGAAATGGGAGTAGCTATACCAGGAGGGTAGGGGGAAGGTAGGAGGATGTGGGGAAAAAGAGAGAACCAATTGCAATGACAAATGCATAACCCCCAGGGGGTTGACCAACAGAAACATGGATGAAGGGACCCAGCAGTTGGTGTAAGATATGAAAATAATAATAATTTATAATTTGTCAAGGGGTCACAAGGATGGGAGCGAAAAAAGAGGAGCTGATACCAAGGGCTCAAATAGAAAGTAAATGTTTAGAAAATGATGATGGCAACATATGTACAAATATGCTTGATACAATTGATGTGTGGAATGTTATGAGAATTGTAATTGCCCCTGTGTTTGGGTAAACTAGGGAAACAAATCCACAGAAACTCATATGTGTAAGAGAGAGTTTTATATAAAGAGATTTATATAAGGAGTTTTATATAAATGTGCATTAAGAAAGCATCCCAACCCAGTGCTGTCCAAGCCCCATAAGTCCATATGTCTGACACCAATCCACGAAGTCCTCCTCCATCTCACAAAACACACCTATGATGCCAACTGCAGGAGGAAAGCCAAATCAGTGAGCATGTAAGCATCTCAGCGCTGTCAGGGGTCTCCACACGGCTGCTCCAGCACCCAGGGCTGCATCGGGGTAGGTCCATGTGGCTTCTCCTCAGGGATGTCTTGCAGG